ACCTGCGAATGCTTCAGTGCTTTCCCACTTCGATGAAAATGCGCCGACCATGTTGCACATAGACGCGAGAAATGTGGGTCTCAGAGCAGTACTCGTATACAGTGGCAGGGTGGGAGCGAAAAGGCGACCATTTATGCCAGAAGGACGCTGTCCTGAACAGAAACTACCTACGCAGTGACCGAGACAGAATTTCTCGTAATGGTGTGGGCGTTCCTTAAGTTTCGCCCGTATTTGTACCGCCGCTCGTTAACGGTTGTCAGCTATACCAATTCACTTTTCTGGCTAATTAATTTGAGAGACCCATCCGGCTGTCTCACAGCTCAAGTATTATGCTCCAAGAGTTCGATTTGACCGTTGCCTACAAATCGGGTAAACGACGCGCGAATGTCGAATTGTCTCGGCCTTGATGACGACAACAACGACACGGTCTTTTTGGTGTGAACATCGCCGCTTGTTGCTGTCAGCAGCAGGATGACGCTGAACTGCTACTGATGAATCATTACCTCAAAGGACAAAGCAATATCATGCCGAAATATTTGATTTGAAAAGCTTTTACGTGAACGAGTAGTGTCATTCTGAGCTATATTATTACCATACCATGATTTGAAAGAAGGTTAACATCATAATGCTTGTGCGATGACGGTTCTTAAAAGAAGAATTTCCCACTAACTGACAGTTGCCATTTGTCGTTTTCTCAATGCCTGAAATCCTCTTCGCCTGTCGCAACGAGCAGACCACCGGTCACTTTGACTACACCTAGACATTGACAAGGACTGGCAGGAATTTGCCATGGTCTATAAAACTTACGCGCCGACGTGTGTAGACTTGCAGCGTCACAAGCCACCTCCCGTAAAGCTGTTGCCACCTGTTAAGTTGAATAGACTGGAAACATTGCAAACAACACCATTTGCACAGATCGGCATAGATTTTCTAGGCTCCTTTCCGACGTCTAATACCGGGAACAGGTCAATAATCGTGGCCACCAATTACGTCACCCGATACGCAGAGACAGCAGCTCTGTGAGGGGCAACAGCAGTCGAAGTGATACAATTCTTTATCGAAGCTATTGTTTTAAGGCATGGTGCTCCCGCAGTAGTTATCACCGACACATGTATCGCGTTCTTGGCCATGCTCCGGACATAGCTTTGCGACTAAGGGGTATACCGCTCACAGGAAGACAACTGCATACCATCCCCAGATCAACGGCCTGACCTAACTTTTCAACAGGACCCTGACTGACACGATCTGCATTTACGCAGATGTAGAACACAAGAACGGGAATATCATCCTTCCCAGCTTACCATTGGCGCACAACACGTCTCGTCAGGAGACTACATGCAAGACGCCATTCAGTCTCGTTCATGGCCGTGACGTTATAGCAACGTTTGATACAATGTCCTCCAATGAAAACGACGCCCATGAGATGAAAGCGAAAGTTTTTACTCAGCGAACATAAGAAACTCGGCAACTTGCCCGGCTGCGAATCATCGAACAAGACTTTAATGCCCGGCACCACAATTTTCGGCACAGACCCACTACATACAACGTGGGCGTCGAAGTGTGGGTCGGGACACCAATTTGTCGTTGCGAAGTTTCCAAAAAACTGCTGCGAAGATACTTTGGACGTTATAAGGTTCTCCAACGCATCCGTGACGCTAATTACGAGGCTGTTCCCGATGGCCTCCTGTGTTCAAAGTGCCAAAGAAATTGTTCACCTGCTTCGGAAGAAGAAATGCATTCTGTGAATATGCTGTTATTCTGCTTTCTAAGCCCGCATCATGAGGACGATGTTTTAAGGGTGAAGCTTACGCCGTGGGCACTTAGTCCCGTGTTTGTAGTGGTAGCCACCACTCGTTTAATCATTAGAATGTCCGCTTAATAGTGGTACTTGTATATGATGAGCATATGTCATAAAAATATGCGAGATGGGGGTACTTAGACTGTTCGCTAGATGTACAGACAGATGGACGGATGGATGGATAGACAGACAGATGGACGGATGGACACAGAGACAAACGAAATGACGCGCGAATGAATGGAGAAATAGACATGTGAACGTACGGACGTACGCACGGACGGACGCATGGGCGGACTGATAGACGCATCGACCCACTCATCATAGTTCACTCCGTGGATAATGCTGTGATTTTTTGTTGAAGGGGGAAGGATACGCGCATGCGTGCTAGGGGGCGATGAAGAAGAGCAGTGCGAGGACGCGTGGTCAGGGAAAAGACGAAGAAGACGTTGCTGCCCTTTTTACAGATTCTGATTAAGTATACTTGTTTGTCGCTTTCCGTTTTATCGTCGATCCCGCGTCATCACAATATAAAAACAATAGGACGAAGGCATGCGTTACGTCGTGTTGCAAGAACGCGAAAACTTTGTCACTGCTAAAGCCCATTATATCACTGCGAAACTATTACTCACTTCACCAAGTCATCCTACTTAGCTGTGTATCGAAAGTGATGGAAAAAAAATTTTAACCTAACGCTGCAGTGATGCACTGAAGCTAACAACACTTATCCAGAACAGGGGCTACCTTCGGACGACGGTGATGCACAATGGACTGCGTCTTTGTCCAGGTTACATTTGTGGAACATGAGAAAAACTTTGAGAGCATTGCTGTTACGGCATTCGGCTCTCTCAGCCACCGATTTGTACTGTACAGCTCAACTCACTAAGAAGTACATGGCTTCTTTGGTAAATGAATCGCAAATTTGCTGCATGTCAGACACACATATGTTTACACGAGAATATATATGGGGCGGTGCAAGAAAGAACACAAGGATGAAAAAAAAAACAGTTATGTGGTGTACTCTGAACTAAAATTTTATTGAAAAAAATGACACTTCTATATCCAGTTTAATCCAAATCATTGTTATCAAAGGTGCATGTGAACAACTCCAGGGCGATATCGGCTGGAAAACTTTTCATTTTTGCTGTTTTTTGTTTTGTTCGTTTATTGTAACCACTCCTGCAATGTCTCAAACATGAGACAGCAGTGTTTGTAAATAGATAAAAAAAATAAATAGGAATGAGGCCGTACATCAGCGTATCTACTCCACAGCTATTGTTTGCTTGCCTACTCCATGCTAATTTTCCGCAACATATCTGAAACATCTCTCTTCAGCTGTTGCAATAACGAAGCGTACCAGTATATCTGGGGGTTTCACAGGTAACTTCAAGTTGCCTGGTGTTATTGAGGCATGAGAACTCAGCTATTAAGCAATTCAAAATGTGGAGACCTGTTGGCACATCCTTCACTTATATAGCCATCTAAAATGCTTCACGTCCACAGATAAAAAAGTGAGAAGCGTGCCGGAACGCAAATACTGCATGCATACCAAGAGTACATTTCACGGCTTCCTGCATCGACACACTGGTCACCCGACTTCAACTAACCACCGTGCTTGCTAGAGCTACCAGATATTGAAACATCAATAGAAGCACTTCGCAGCGAGCATAACGTAACAACGATTTCCGCAGTGCAGTAGGGCTCACATCACATGTTTTGATTTGCCAAGACATCTCTAACGTGTGTACTGATGGTTCAGTCATTAAATAAACTGAGAGATAAGCAATTATGATTACAGGATTGCAAGAAGAATATGCCGGTTGGTGGATCATCTCTCTTCTTCAAGCCCAGCCGTGGTGGTCTAGTGGCTAAGGTACTCGGCTGCTGACCCGCAGGTCGCGGGTTCAAATTCCGGCTGTGGCGGCTGCATTTCTGATGGAGGCGGAAATGTTGTAGGCCTGTGTGCTCAGATTTGGGTGCACGTTAAAGAACCCCAGGTGGGAGAAAATTTCGGAGCCCTCCACTACGGCGTCTCTCATAATCATATAGTGGTTTTGGGACGTTAAACCCCACATATCAATCAATCAATCTCTCCTCTTCAACAACATTGACAGTTTCACTAGCCAACAGCGTCATTAAACTGTCATTGACGTTAAGAAAGTGGGTCGTAATCACCGACTCCTGGTGGCACTTGCAAGCACGAAAAATGTTACTTAAGGAAAAAGTGATATACGTAAACTATACGCTATAATAAAACAACTTTCAAAACTTTGTAGTCCTACCATCACGGGCAAGTTCAGTGAGTTTCGAGGCACTGCAGAGACGAGCGAAATAAAATGGAAGATAATTTGGTGCACAGAGCTCATAACTATGCACAAACCTGTCTCATTCCTATATCTCAATGTGACATAAACATAATTGCAAGAAAAAAAACGGCAATTATGCTTGTCGACATTGTTCTCAGAGAGCGCAAAGGAAAAGATCCTGTATATCGCTGGCTATAATGCTGAGATTAACCAGTGTTGTACACGTTACCGAAATTTAGTACCTAAATACGTTACTTGTTACTGCAACAAAAACTAAACACGTTGACTCTCTACATTACCTGCAAGAAAGTAACGCGTTATCGTTACCATTACCGAAAAAAGGAACAGACGTTTTCACTGCCCTTACACAACAATGATAAGTTTTATTCGATGTGTTTCTGTCGCAGCAACTCACAATAATACTTTTTATTTCAAATTTATGCTTCACATGAAATGTCTAACCTAAAAAAGGATTATACGCCAAAGGTCCAATTAAAGGACAGCCGAAACAATTTTGCTAATATGTATTACGAACACATTGCAACGGTAGACAAAGTCCCAAGGTTTGCTTAGAGACCGATTTGAGCTAGCTCTATGCGTAAACTCTGTAATTTATTAGAATGCTTTAAAGCTGCGAATCACCGCAGATTGGTGTGGATTGTTGCGACTCAGCTAAATGCGTTTCAACCACCCATTCACACAGCGACATGCTTTGGCCGTTTGATGAGGCCATAGCTCGTCAGCAGCCACGTCACCGTGACTACTGATTTGATTGGCTTTCATGGCCTGTAGCATCTGCGGAAGATCGGCTGGTAGGGTGGCGACACCTGTCGGAGCAGATATAAACAACTTCATAATCTTCGTCTCTACGGCGTGCGTGCTGCCGGGTGCACTATGTGATGGCCTCCGAGACTGCGCGCAACCTGTCGGTGTGCGAGCTCGGAGGTCTGAACTGCTAAAAGACATAAAAAGTCGAGCGTGCTCATAAGACCTCTGTAAGCGCCAGTGATGCCAGCGTGCCTCATGAATTGAGGAGGCCAGGCATAGGTGAGGAGGAGGGTATAATGTATTGGTCCGTAGCGGTGCCTTGGTACACGCCGTGTTACTAAGTTTGTTAAGCTATGCTTTGATGATGCTCTAACCTAAACACTGAAAAAACTTGAAAAACCTGTTTCAATGTTTCTTTAAAGAGGCCCTCTAACACTTTTCACGCCCTCTTAGGCTTACATGGTTTTCTGGCTGGTTGCGTACACTGACGCCTTAAGAGATAAGTGCAGCAACAACGGCAGCGATACGGGCATGCATGGCATCTATTTAGCGTAGAGATATAATAATACAGGGAAATGGATGCTTGCCCTCAAGTCTATTTTCTCGAGCTCGCCTGACCCCGTTTCCTTCGCCCTGTGACGTTTGAAGGCTGCGCAATAAAATTGAGTGAGAGTCTTACCGTACAGGAATCTCGCATGACATACTGCCCCTTATGTCCAACGTGTTCAGGATGCGATTGCCATGATAACAAATAATGTGGCACCTGAAAGAACGACACGTGCGAAACTTGGCAGCTCGTGAACGCTTATATGAAGTTTTGTAGCTTTACTGATCTTTCTTTCTGCAATGAACGCTGTTAAATTTTTTGGGGGCGATGCTCCTTATAGCGGCACCCGTTCGTGCCTCGTAGCAGTTGTAGTAGTGTATAACAAGTATAACATTTTGACCTCCAAGGTGGCGCTTGTGAGAGATTTCTCCTCTGCAGTGTGTAACAATAAACGATAGTGCTCAATGTACATGCGAATGGCTGCTAAGGGGGAATGAGAAGAGAATTCGGCTTTTAGTTACCGCGCAGGCTGCGAAGTTTTGTTGTTCAACAACGCATAGAAGACAAGAAAGGGTTGCTACGTTATACTTGCTGGGCGCAACCTCTTAGGTTTTAGAAAGTTTTAGTGAGCATTAGGCCACAGTGCCATGAATACAGTGAACTAGTATATACCACCAACTTGAGGTGGTTAAAGGTGGGAAGTAGACACGAAGCGCAAGCCGTAAGAAAGTGTGCATGTGCCTCCTCTCGTTCAGTCCTTGGAATGTCCGCCGGATGGCGGTGTTTCTATATGAGGAATATATGATGAAAAGATGCGAGATGGTGGTACTTGAAGTGTTGAATAGGTAGACGAACGGACACACAAACAGATGCATGAACGGACGCACGGATGTCTGCATGGACGAATGAACGCAAGGACGGACGCAGGAGCGAATGCATGGACGAAAGCCGGGACGGACGCACAGATGAACGTGCCGACGCACGAACAGACACACGCACGGACGGGCGGATGGACGCACGGGCGGCCACACAGCCACACGTGGAAGCAAGAACGAATACGGAAGCAAGAACGAATAATGAAGAAGAACGGAAGAAGAACGAATAACGAAGAACGGAAGTAAGAACGAATAGGCGGACGGATGCTTCACCCCACTATTTATCATTCACTCCGTGGATATACTGCCATTTTTTTAGTTTCTTCAAACGATTGCGGCTGCAGCATCCCCGCGGTGCGTTTCCGCCAGCTGACTGACTGACTGAAAAACTTTATTTGGTCCTGAGGAGGCGATGACCCCCTAAGGAGCCCCGTCTGTTGGCCGCGCCCATGACGGGACCGGGACGTTGAACTTGACGGCCTTGTCATGAGCCCTCTGGACAGCCCGAAGTTGATCCACCTCATGGCGACTTGTTAGGAGAGCATCCCAGTCCTTTTCCGTGATTGGAGACCCGTCGTCCGCGCTCAACTCGGGGCGTTGCCCAGTATATGTTGTCAGTTGCATCGTAAGATGCCGCATTGGGGGCACCGCGGCCCTAATTCACGTATAAATCTCGCCTAAAGTGCCGCAGAGGGATACGCTCCTGTTTGTAGGATATAAAATGATAGTGCTTGTGGTCGTTTGAGTCAAGGCTGTGGTAACAGAAGCTCTCGCCGTTCGAGACGAAAGTGCTGATAGATTTCATTATAGGTCTATTTCTTTAAATGTTGGTTCCGGAGTCATTTCTCACCCTTAAGCTCATTGGGGGTTGGGGCGAGGGGGTGGGCGTTGGAGCCTATATGGTCCGGGAACCTAATAAAATGCTTAATGTCAGTCCACGTGGCACACGAGAGCACACAGATTGATCCCACACGGAAGGCGGGGGCCATGGCTCGGGAATCGGGGTAAAATGTAGCGCGGGTTGTGTTCGCTATTGCTAAAGCGATCTGCCCTTTCTGAATGGTCAGGGTCCGAGTTTAGGAGCGCAAGTGCAGTGAGCACTTCTCCTTCTAGCAAGGTTACAGCTGCTATATAGTGGTCATAGGAGGAGTGTTTTGCGGCGTCTACAAAGGCAGCCGAGTCAGGCATAGTGGCCACGGTTTTCAGTAGCGTGGTGGCACGGGCTCTATGAAGACCATCGTTGTAGTCCGGGTGCATGTTACGTGGGAGTGAAGGTACCCGAATTCGATCCGTGATCAAGTGGGGCAGGGTGCATCCTCGTTGTGTAGAAAAAGAGGACGTGAGTTTCAGGTGAGCTAAATGTTGTCTGCCTGCTTCTGTGGAAAATAGTCTGGCTAGCTGAGCGACAGTTTGAGCATCGGCGATTTCACTGAATGTACTGTGAACGCCTAAGGCCCTGAGCTTTCTAGTATTGGTATGAACGGACAGCCCTAGTACTTGTTTGATGCCTTTGCGAATGCTGAGATTTAATTTTGTTTTCATCACATTTCTTCCAAGGGTGAGCTATAGCCACATAGTTGATATGGCTCATGAGAAATGTGTAGAATATACACCATAAGGTTTTCTCAGAGTGTCCCAATTTTTTATTAGCAACACGTCTGATCGAATGTGACGTTGATCCTGCTTTGGCCGCTATGCGCTCTATGGTGAGTTGATTTCTGCCGTCCTCCTGCAGTATTGTGCCCAGAGTTCTAGCCAAGGTGACTTGCGGTTTGTGCATGTTTTCCACAGTATGTGAGTTAATGGGTATAGGGGTGAGCCACTTAGAGGCCCATTTGGGCCTACAAAGGAGTAATTTGAATTTAGCGGCTGACAATTGCAAGCCTCTTAGGTCGAGATACACCTGAATTATGTTAATATGTCAATTGCTTTCTGTAGCCGGCGTTCGACACCCCTTCAACGCCGTTCTCACTCCAGATGGTGATGTCATCTGCGTAGAAGGCATGGCCGAGGCCATTGATCGTGCCGAGTTCACGCGACAGGCAAGATTGATTAAAATAGGAAGAAGACAGGCCCTTGTAGGGTGCCTCTTGGGCCTAGTTCATACGTCTTGGAGCCTAACGATCCAAGTCGGATGATTGCTTTCCAGTCTCTTAAGAGTGAGCGTATGTTCTTGTGAAAGCGAGTGCCGAGGTCTGCTTAGGTTATAGACTATAGGACGTGTGCGTGTTTAACTTTGTCAAATACCTTTTCGAGGCCTAGTGCTAGGACTGCCTTGGTGTCTTACGTCTTAACGGAGAGTACCCGGTGCTTTAGCATTATCATTACGTCTTGTGTTGACATAGAAGGGCGAAAGCCAATTTCATGGAATGGATGGAGATTATGTTCTGCTACGTATTGGTTGCTCGTTTGAGTATGGCGTGCTCGACCACTTTGCCTACACACGAAGTAAGAGATAGGGGTCGGAGCATGCCTATCTCGAGGGGTTTACTTGGCTTTTTTATGAGAACTACAACGTCCTCTCACTATCCTATAGGTACTTCACCGGCCTCCCACATCTGGTTGATGTGCTTTGTGAGAAGTTGGATGTCATCTTCCACTAGATTTTTAGGCAGTTTGTTAGTTACGCCATCTCGCCCTGCGGCCTAATTGGAGTTTAAAAGTTGGCTATCGTTGCTCCTATTTCAGCGCACGTGTAGAGGGAGCGCAATAGGTCATCCTTTCCAGAGGGGGTGGAGGTGTAAAGTGCGCGTCGTAGCTCTTGTAAGTGCAGAGGTAACGGGCTGCGGTTTATTAGTGATTTGTTCATCGGTCAAATCAGCTTGGTGAAGCTTGTGTATTAGTCTGTCTATAGTTAACTGCTGGTTTAATTTTGTGGGTTGGTCATGTAAGAGATATTTGAGTATGTTTCATTTAGAGCCTCTGCGCATTTGTGCATCTACGTAGTTGGATACCGCATCATTTTGCTGTTTAGCCAGCGTGCTACCATGCTCCTCAATCTCTTTGTTTAATTCAGCAATCTTTTTTACGAAGGCGTCTATTGAGCTTGTGTTTTACATTTCGCTTGAAATGCTTGCTGTGCCTCGATTAGGTGTGCAAGACGACTGTCCATATGTTCGATTTAGCGTGTGGTTTTGCTTTTTTTAGTTACTCTGAGTACGTGTTCTTTGAGGCGTGCAAAAAATTGCTAATAGTAATAAAACTGATTTCATTGTTTTTTTTTCTGATATCAGGGGACTGCTCCCAGTCTACGACTTTGAATTTACGAGGTGCGGGAGAGGAAACGCCAAGGCTGATGCTACAAATGTAGTGATCACTACCTAGGTTTATTTGGTTGTTAAGCCATGTGGGGTTCCGAGTATTTCTCGTGAAGGCCAAGTCAGGCGTCGTTTCTCTAGTAGACCACGTTCCTGTGCGAATAGGGAATGTGGTGCTGGTGGAGAGCGGTCGGCAGCAGTGCGCTATCTGCGCAGTCAGTACTTTTCATTTAGCATGGATGAAACCGTACCCCAGACTAAATTGGGAGCATTGAAGTCTACAGCAATCAGGAGGGAATGTTCTCCAACTATGTTATTTGTTTTCTGAAAAGAGAGCTTTGAAAGTTTCCTTTTGGTCAGCTGCTGAGCTGTAAGTGTTTAAGATAAATACCAATTGCTTAAGATGCGAATTTCATATGAGTTCTATGAAGGTGAGTTCAGGGCGAACTTCATATTGTCACGGCCTAAGTAGATGCCTGAGGATGACGACGACGAAGTGTTGAATGTGGACGTGCTCGGACTGCAGCAGCGTTGTACGCATTAGCTCGCCAGTATATTTGCCAGTACGCATTTGCTCGCCAGTGTATACTTTATTCCCCGTAAAATCATTGGTGGAAGGTGCGGAGTACCACTCGCTATACAGCCCAACGAGCTGGATCTTCGCAGCGGACGGCGCATTGCAGCTACCACGATGACTGATCAGGCTACTCAATGTCAACAAGATCCGTCAGCCCGGCAGCCGATCGTTGTGGTGCAACCTCGTGACCCAGGCCCATTCAACGGCACAAGTGGCATAGACGTCGATGACTGGCTGGTTCAATATGAGCGCGTCAGCAGCAGCAACCATTGGGATCCGACGCTTATGTTGGCGAACATCATCTTCTACTTGCATGGCACGGCAAAACTCTGGTAGGAGACACATCAAGAAGAGTTGACTAGCTGGGACGTCTGTAAGCAGACATTGTGCTATCTATTTGGGAAACCCATCGGACGTCAAGTGGCCGCAAAGAAAGAGCTTGCGACTCGTGCCCAGACATCCACAGAGCCGTACATCGCGTACATGCAGGACGTGTTGGCTTTGTGCCGCAAGGTCGACAAGGACATGCTCGATGAGGACAAAGTCGGACACATCCTGAAAGGAATTGCGGATGACGCCTTCAATTTTCTCCTGTGCAGGGACTGCTCGACGGTGGAGTTGGTCAACGAAGCATGTCATCGCTTCGAACAGGCAAAAAGGAGGCGCATAGTTCACCGATTTGACCGCCTTCCCAACACGGCGGCTACGTTCTCTTGCGAAGATTTTCCCACACTACATCAACCACCAGCGCCAGAAAACGTCACCAGAATAGTCCGTCGGGAACTCGAGGCTATGGCTCCCGCTATGTCTAGCGTCAGTGCGCCAGGACACAACCTCGATGCTGTTTCAATGATACAGGCCGTGGTTTGCCAAGAGATCGCGAATATGGGCATTTCGCCACCTCATCAAAATGCCCCTGCTACTTCCAGCTCGGCTCCAGTCGTTGCGGCTGCCACTCCGAACCGCACGTTCGCGCCACGACGAAACCCAGCTGAATGGCGCACTCAGGATGATCGGCTCATATGTTTCGCGTGCCATCGGATAGGACACATCGCTCGCCATTGCCGCAGCCATTGGACCTCATCACCTCGACTGAGCTTCTATGATTGGCGGCCTCGCTCTGAACGTGCACCTTATGCCCCGTCCTACCGTGCTGAGACAGGTGCAGAGCATAATCCAGAACGTCGGACCAGCCGCTCGCCATCGCCCGTGCGTCGTCAGTCCCGCTCGTCCCAACCCCGCCGTTCTCGATCTCCCTACGACCGTCGCTCGGAAAAGTAGCCGGTGCAGCCCCCGGAGGTGACGCTGCATACACGACTCGGACTGCAAATCCTCTGATTACTCCCGACCAGCGGTGCAACCTTCTTACAATTCTCGTTAATGGTTTACCTATAACTGCTCTTATTGATACCGGTGCACAAATATCTGTGATGAGCTCAGACCTCCGCCGCCGCCTCCAAAAAGTTCTGACGTCTGCAATTGCACCTACCGTTCGTACAGCGGATGGGAGTACTCCTGCTGTGCTTGGAATGTGCACTGCGCGATTAACAATTTCTGAGCATCAAAGTTCAGTTCTGTTCACTGTACTGAAAAATTGCCCTCATGACCTCATTCTTGGACTCGACTTTCGGACTTCACACGCTGCGCTCATTGACTGTTCCAAAGGTCTTCTTCGGCTCGAACTACCATCCTTTTCGGAGACCGCCTCTACCAGCCCGCCCCGGCTACGCTCTGTCGATTTCCTCAGACTTCCGCCGCAAGCCACAGTCCAAGTCCAACTCTCGCCATATCCTGCAGTACCCGATGGTGATTATGTTGCTGCCCCAATATCTGACGTCGCCATGACACGCAATGTTGCACTCCCCAACACGGTGGTTACCGTTAAGGACAACCCAACTTCATTTCCCGTCCTCAATTTCGGCCTCTCAGCGCAAATTATTCCTCGCGGCATGTCACTTGCACATCTTACACCACTGGTCGACCACACAGTTACCGCTCTAACCACCGATTCACCACCCGATTTTTAATCAACTTCGTTTTCGTCACGTTCCTGTTCCGACCGTTTCAAGCCAATGCTATCTGACAAGCTCACCTCTGAACAAGTATCTGCTTTCTGTCACGTGCTTGCTTCTTATCAGGACATCTTTGACTTCGGCCACCGTAATTTGGGCCAGGCATCCGTGGTAACCCATCGCATCGACACCGGTGACGCCCTACCCATTCGCCGACGACCCTACCATGTGTCAGCCCCGGAGCGCGCTATTATACAGCGAGAAGTCAATAAAATGCTTGATAAAGGCATAATCGAACCCTCATCTAGTCCCTGGTCCTCACCCGTTGTACTTGTTAAAAAGAAGGACAATAGCTGGAGATTCTGTGTTGATTACCACCATCTCAACCATATTACCAAGAAAGATGTCTATCCCCTACCACGCATAGATAATGCACTCGATTGCTTGCACGGTGCCAAATATTTCTCTTCAATAGACCTTCGCTCAGGCTGCTGGCAGATAACTGTGGACGACAAAGACAGAGAGAAGACGGCCTTCGTGACTCCTCATGGACTTTATCAGTTCAAGATGATGCTTTTTGGATTATGCAATGCCCCCGCGACATTTGAGCGCATGATGGACTCTCTCCTTCGAGGCATCAAGTGGACCATCTGCCTCTGCTATCTTGACGACGTTATTGTTTTTTCGACTACTTTCGACGACCATCTTACCCGTCTGTCCACAGTGCTTGATGTTTTTCGACGTGCCAACTTGCAACTTGACTCGTCCATGTGCCGCTTTGGGCAACGCCAAATCTGCGTACTCGGCCATCTTGTTAACGCTGCGGGCGTTCAACCAGACCCTGCGAAAGTCCTAGCAGTTCGCGACTTCCCCACACCCCGCTCAGCCAAGGACGTCCGAAGTTTTCTGGGACTGTGCTCCTATTTCCGTCGTTTTGTCTAGAAGTTCGCTGAAGTAGCCCGTCCTCTAACCTGCTTCCTCAAAACGGATGTCGCATTCACCTGGGGCCAACAGCAAGCAAACGCCTTTTCGTCGCTCGTTCACATTCTCACCAATCCACCAGTCCTAGCACACTTCGACCCATCTGCCGCCACGGAGCTTCGTACTGACGCCAGTGGCCACGGCATAGGCGCAGTGCTCGCACAGCGGAAACAAGGCATGCACCGCGTCGTCGCGTATGCAAACCGACTGTTGTC